GGGGGGGGGGGGGGGGGGGGGGGGGGGGGGGGGGGGGGGGGGGGAGGTTCGGGCTTGCTTGCTGGTGAACGGGGGGGAGAGGTGACATTTAGAGAGGGCGTGTTTGAAGGAGAGAGATGAGTGACAAGAAGGGCGCTTGAGTAGATACGTCGTTCATGAAATTGTATGGACGTGGTGCATATAGAAGAAAACGTTGGCGACGAGTGAGACCTCGCGGATTGTGTTTAGCAGACGCGAGCCCGACTTACCCGGTTATAAATAGTGAGGGTGGTGCTCCTTCCCTCGTCCCAAAATGTATGGCCAATTGTTTCGAGGCAAGGCGAACACACACATCAAATTAATTCTAGGGACACAGACACGTTCAGCAGGCAGAGGATACCCATCGCACTCACACAAGGGCGTAGAGAGCCGCTGAAATGAGAAGGCTCCCGCGGGGTTGAGGGAGGGGTGGGGGCGCCGAACGACTGAACCCCCATGGGAATAAACAAGAAACGGAACACCGTTAGATGACTGTGCTTGCGTGCTCCCCTTAGTCTCACCTCTAAGCTCTCGTCCCCGTCGAACACCCGAACCTCGTAGTAGCAAACCTCTTCGTCACACGTGAAGTCGAAGTCGCTGTTTTATACGGTGTCGCGTGGTCGGTGTGACGTGTGCGTGTGCGCGCCGGGGTGTTTTTGAGATGAATCAGCTGCTCGGGCAGACACGCGGACGGGGTGTACGCGCACGCGTCTACGCGCACAACGGTACCGCGCAGTGAGTGCAAGGTCCGCGTTATCCCTTCCCACCTACACAACCTGTTCGGAATAACACCCCTATGATGTGTAAGTCTCATACGAGGGCGGGGGGACGACAAGGAAACCAAGGGGCACCCCTATCATATCTCTGTCACTTTTTGTGGGGCCCCCTAGATGGGAATCGGGGTCGGGGTCGGGTCTACAGGCTGACCTTCCCGACGTGTAGCTGGAGGGCCCGCTCGCGACGAACGCCGTCGGGGTGCGGTCGTCGCGGTACCAGGCGTCGTTCTTGAGCTCGTCTTCGCCCGACCTACCCCCGAGAAGAACCAGCTTCTGCTTGAAGTACACCGACGCCGCGTGGGTCCGGGGACCGGGGTTGATCTTGCAGCGGAGTCCTCCTAGCGCCTGGGACATGTCCGTCGTGGTCTCCACCTGCTCGCGCCGGTTGGGGTTTGATGTTGGTTTTGGTTCAGTACTGCAGGGGAAGTGAGAGCATTGGGATCTGCTGAGGGGTGGTTGCTTGTCGCTGGAGGGTTTCCCTTTTGTCGCATCATCAGATCGCGTCGGATTGTATCCCACAGCAGGATCTTGGTCACACTTTCCACCTCACGTCTCTCACAACATCATACGGCACGAATCAACCTTATTCCCGCCTCCCCGTTACACCACACAATTTATCGCAGTGCATCGCCAACAAATGCACCATCCTCACCAAACCACACGCCGAATCGATTTAGACAACTTCACCCCAAACTTAACGAAAATATGCAAACAGACCCATCCGTACGTTCGTATCGGACACCTTCCCCGCGTGCGCGGCACACGACCGACGACTGACCCTCCGAGTGCTTCAGCAGCCTTACACCCAACCAATCGCCACCTCTTCTTCCAAGGCATTGAGGTAGGGCCGTTACCTGAGAGACTTCCCCTATGCCCGGAACGTTGGGCGACACCCCGAGCGCCTCCACGTACGTGCAGCCGTCCCAGGTCTCTATCAGCTCGGTCAAGTCATTCTCTTCGTCCTCTTCCACTTCGGCGACTGTATAGTCGACCCCGTACCACTGGGCGTTTTGTGTTATTGGTTTCCCTTCCTGAAAAGACAAACAGACAAACACGTCAATATACCGGCGCGAGCGGGAGGAGAGGGGTGAAGGGCGAGGACGAGCGAGGCAGAGGCAGGAAGCTACTGCGGGGAAACTTGGTCATTTCGGGGAGTACCAATACGGAACACTCAAGCTTTCATTGTTGTACAGGCACCTTGCAACGGCGGGAAATCACATCTCGAGCCTATTCTCGCTGTACTAACGTGAGCCTTCAGCAGCCACGGGGAGGCTACGAGGTTGTCCGCTCAATATTCGAAGGCTTGGCTACTTAGGTATGGGTACTGTAGACATCAACGTTGAGCGCTGTTTTCGACCATGGTATTGTAAAGCATGACGTGCACGCACGCATACAAATGCTTGTATCGGCGCTTTGGTCCACACAAATGACCGATGGATTTCTTATCACGAAGAACAATTGCCGGGTACAAGTAGCGTGCGTGTTTCTGTGAAGTCCCACTTCAAGTGTGTGGCGTTACTCGGTACAGCTTACCGAAAACACGGGTTCGACATTCCACGGTTGGCCATCCTCCCCGTTGTACTTATCAGCGTCTGGGTCCACAGCGCACTTCTCCACCAGAGACACGGCCAGATTACGCAGATCACAGATGTGAAGGACTGAAAGTCGGTCCTCCAGAGGGACCTGATCATGGGAGATTGTGCGCGATGACGAACGAGGGACGGAGGACGGCCAGAGGGAGGTCAAGCGGATCAGCCGTCATCATTACCATGACCCCCGCCCCTCTCCCCCTACGCACACTCAACCGTTCGTCAACCCCCTCCCCTGCTAGGAAGGGAAATCGAACTTGGCCCAAAGGAGGACGATGTACACCAATAAAACCCAGCACAACGGCGGAAGGTCTTCGCAACATCCAAATGGCAAGGGCAAATGGAGAGTAGGTTGTGGACTGTACAGGGACAGAAAGAGGTGCCCTCGGGAAGTACACGAGCGTTGTCAGAAGAACGTGACACTACTACTCCGTTTGCTCACCTCGTCCCGACTAGAAAGACGATACCAGTGGTGATGAACAATGACACAAAAAATGTTTTAGAGACACAATGGGTATGTTTCAATACTCCAAACCTGACTGATTTCTAGAGGACATAAGCTCGTTGGCAAACCGGTCTAAATGTGGACCATGAACATTCGTCCATGTCGAAAAGGCGCGCGTGCCAAACGGTCAAGGCAAGCAACCGGGTACCCCCCCCCCCGCGCCTCCTCGACGCTCTCACAACTTTAACTCGCACGTGTACCTGCGGCACGTCGTAGCCCCGGAGCTTAAGAATTGTGTACTTGTCGGCGGCCACGAGCTCCGAGATGGTGTTCACCCCGGCCTCCACGAGCATCAGGGCCTCCTCGTCCGTAACGAGCGGCCGCAGGTCCGCCTCCACCGACCCCAGCTCGAACGGCGCCCAGGTGGGCAGGAAGGCCTTCCTCAGCAGGTCGACGTGGCTGTCTCCGTCGACGTAGAACATCTGCGGCGGCGGGCCCGGGACGAAGCCCGTGGTGGTGGCCGCCGCCGTGCGGTACGGCTGCTCCGCGGAGTAGTCCTTGGCCCACGCCGCTCCGGCAGAAGTCTCCTCGCTCACGTCCCAGCTCCTGTGACGGTTGTTGGTACGGTTGTGGTGGTTTGGTGTTGTCATGAGTGGGAGGAGAAAGGGAGTCGTGGAGTACGGCACACAGCGGGGAACGAAGCCAATAGACAAGACGGTGACAATAGCTGATGGTTGTGTTGGAGGTATCGGGGTAGAATATGGGCTACACTTGAAATGCAACAGACAAGGAAGAACAGCTTGTGTTTTGACGCGCGCACCGCGTGGTTTTACTTCCCACGCTACAGCAGCACGGGCACGATGATTGTGCTTGGGCTTGGTGCCGGGCATTTGGTGATCGCAGTAGTGATCAAGACTCTCTACGCCCGCCCTAGCCCGCTAATCAACAAGCTGCGGCCTGTCTCCAGGCCCATAGTTGACCATTTTTCTCTCCCCCCTCCACGGTGTTTGCCATCGGGGTTGGGTTTTCGTCGCTTGGCAACGACGTTGTAAAACAAGCCCCCCCCCCGGTATCAACCCTCCCCCGGTGTTTGCCATCGGGGTTGGGT